TTCTTCAACAATGGTCTTTAAAATAAATTTGAATGATTTTTCTTTTTTTTTACCTTTCTAAATTTATTCAAACTTACTTTGATCTGCAGCATCTGGAATCAGTGTGCCACAGAGCAGGGCCTTCAATTAAAACCGATTTTTCGTATGCATTGATGATTTTTAGTTTTTAATAAATGCACATGGGCGACTTTTGATCGTGTGTGCTGGTGTGTGTGTGTAGGCTGTGCTATCTGAATGAATTTAAGGCCTTTGCGGTAATCTGACAGCTTAAATTCCGCAAATATCTACGTTAATTGGACACATGTCCATAGTTAACATTTTGCAAGGCAGCCCATGTGGCGTATGCTTAATTTTGGTGAATTCCTGGCAGCTCATAATGAGGCCGAAGCTCCATGAAACGGCAATTAAGTATTATTTTACGCATAAATCATAGATAAACCCGAACACACGCTAGCCCACACATTACCATACCTATAAATTAACCCGTACCCCATACACCGTGTAATGCATATGCTCCAGCCATGTGGTTCTGGGAAGCTGTCCACGTTACCGCTTAATTGAACGAAAAGCTGATGTATTTTCTGTTCTCCGCGTTTTTTTTTCAGTTTTCTTCTTTTTGTTTGTATGGTTATGGGTATGCTGTTGATGCTACCGCACATTTATGTGATTTATGTGGGTCGCGAGCAGAACACACCACCAAAGTGAGACTTGCATACCATATTTTCATTGTTTCGTACATTTATGCCATTCAACTTTATGGCCCAGGCAGAGTCGTGCATCACTCGTTACGAGCATGATTTTTCAAGAATGTCAGCCAGGAGCAGCTGATTTACGATAAGTGAGAGTCAATGAATTCGCAGTGTAGCAAGGAAGGTAGTAACATATGCTGGGCTGCATACACGATACAGGGAGTAAGCCTTCTGCTTTATACTCTAATTTCCTTATGCTATCACTCCCCCACAACACCCCCCTACCCAATCATACATACAACAATACATTTTTATATCATTTATTAATGCGTCACCGCCATGAATTTATAAAGATTACAAATTAAAATTTATTTTGTTACTTAGTATTAGTGTACATAGTTACGATATTTATAGTACTTGGCTTGACGGTAGCATTGGAGACACAGTAAAAGCCCAAAGCAGAGCCACAAGCCGAGAATATACGGATAGATGGGAGCCTTTAATTTCTTCCTGTATCATATCTATGATAACCACGGTTTCACCGAATTTTAACTTTGGGCCACAATGGAAACATTTATCGCTCTCAGGGACAAAGTCATCCTCAATTGACGATTGCCATCCATGCGCCGCACCCAGCAAAATACCAATCACCATTAATAGCAAGCAGAGTCCTAACATCTCAACGGAACTGCGATTATCCAATTACTAAAATATTTAATAGCTGAAGCTAAAGTAGGCAGCAAAAGTGAACGATCTTTGTCTCTGTCTCGAAACGACTGAATTCAGACCACATAAGTCTGGTCGTTTTATAGGCCAGTTCCACCAGAGGTATTGGATCGCCGCTCCCGGAATCGTCGGTCTGGTCAAATTAATTCCGGGAGTTAGCAATTTGATCCGAGCGAGCAGCAATCACACTCGAAGAAGCAGTTTGTGTTGCCATATGTCGAGATCGACAGTCAGAACTAGGGGGCCGTCAAAATCATCGCTTTGCTTTCAAACGGAAGCACTATATACATACATACATACATACATACATAAATATACATGACAGACATACACACAATCGCATTCATGCAACAAAAGCGAGAACTAAAAGCAAAACATTTAATTAAGCCAACACGTGCGCCTCTGGCCACCCCTCCCTGACGTCTCGGGAAGATGAGCGCGGAGGCCCGTCCCGCATTAACAGTCGGGCGGGGCTGGGGCCCGCATCACATCTCCTCGGCAGTGACGCGGGGAAGGGAAGCTGACAGCATTGTTGTGAGCCATCTCGGGTGCCAAAGGGGCTTTGCTGTCTGGGCCGCTTTCAATTTCTATGTTTTCTTCATTCAGCTGCCCTCTTTGTTGGACTTCTGCATGTCGTGGGTGCAGCTAATCCAACAACCCCCAACCCCCTGCCCCAATCATGTGCCAAAGGAGGGGGTCGATTTTCAATTTATCCAAGAATGAATGTTGTGTACAACCATTCGCATTCATGAAATAAATGTATCAAAGCCATACCTTATTGTTGAACTCGGGATTTGAATTGATTCACTTTGGAATTCAATTCATCCGTCATTTAATTTAATCTGAATATTTATGTTATATTGTACACTGCTGGGATTCTTTGCTTTCATCACTCATATTCTATGAGTGTTCATTTATTCCTCCATGGAAGGAAAATAAACACAGACAGCCACTTGTGAAAATTCCATGGATACCATGTATGGTCGTTTTTATCCGACTTGCGAGTATTACGCATATGGTTTTGTAATTCCACTTATTTATATTCAACCTGATACAATTGTGATTATCATCCAATCAAAAAGGATGATTTAAATAAATCTGATTCGACATCAATTAAATGCAATTATGTGGAACCAATTGACATATGCAAAACTTCAGAAATTACAAGTTTTCGTCTGAATTTGTATAATAATATATGTATATGAATTTATATGGATAGGCCTGGAGCAGGCCGTTTAATACTGGGATTTGTGTAAAGTAAACGTGGTGCATACATATATGAAACTATTTGCAGCAAAAAAAAAAATGGGACACCTTTAGCCAGGCAACTCGTAAATTTAGCGTTGGTCATATTAATTTCTTTCGAAGGCTTTTCTCGAAAATCCTTGAAAATATGTAGAAGGCAGCCCAGGGTAAAAAAAGTGATGTTAAATGAACGCCAAGGCAAAATTTATTATCAATGTTTGCGCAGTTAAGCAAAAAATAAAATGGCACGACGACGGTGTTTCCACCAGGCGAGGTTTTTTTCCACAAATTAATGGATGGGCTTTAAGGTGGACCAACAAATACACCCAGGACTGGGAAATATGTACCCCAGACCCCACTTTTGACTTGGCTATCAAATGTCATTTTTGAGGCTCTGGCCAGAAAATGTTATCTGAATGTTTTGACAACTTCCTTGCACCTGAATGTCGTTGCCGGAAATACGTATACCTACATATTTGCCTTTTTCGCTGCCCCATCTTGCCGCACAGACGATGTGGCATCTACAGTTTTTTTTTCCTCTCAGAGCAGTTTATCAAGCCTCTCTTTGTGTTGCTGCTGCTGGGGCAATCTTTGTGTTGGCCCGAGTTTGCCCGTTTATATATTTCTATTTTTTTAGTTTGATTTATGGCAGTCATGCTCTATTTTTTCGGTCTCTGCCCAAACTATATGTGCCATAAACAAATATTAAGTGAAAAGCCAGAGATTCAAATGCGGGCGGCTCATAAATTTTCCGCTCCACGAACAAAACTTGGACAAACTCTTGGCATTCCCATTATAAGTAAATTTACTTACGATTTGCTGACTCTGCTCAGAAGTTTCTTGTGTGGAAAAATTGTTTTATATTTAATGTTCTTCGCTTGAGATGAATGTGCAAGGTGTTTGCCACCTTCTGTCTGGCTGGCTGGTCATACGACACCAGTGCCCACTTTCGAACCACCTTTTATCTTTGTATTTGTTTGTTTTAGTTTAGTTGAAATCTGCATTCAGTCGTCATCCACTTACCTGCACTTGCGCCTTTTCTTAGTTACCATTCATACCATTACCATTCTTATTACTGTGATTTCAATCATAACAAAGTTCAAGTCTATTCCATTACTACCATTACGAGGATACGAACCATAGCTGTCAATGGGGTAAACCCATTCTGTCTCATCACAGCACGACAGCTTTTGCTCATTTTCTCTTCGTATACTTTGAACCACGTGTATCCATATTTATGGAATTATATTTGCAGTGTGCACATCCGCCTGGCGAACATCCGCCTGCCAATAACCATTCATGATGCAGGACTGCAGCACAGCAGTCCCTGCTGATGCTCATTAAAAACACACACCCAGGTGGTGGCCATTCATTAAATGTTCGCTCTACTATAATTTCATGTGGGCAAATATTTTTGCTGTGGCATAAGCGAGCAATGTACCAGAGTGGCAGACAGTGAGAGAGAGAGAGAGAGAGGGAAGGGAGGACAGCAAACATGGCCGACACTCTGCCCCTCCCATTTCCCACTCGCACTCACGCTGTCAATGGGCTGGTTGTTTCTGTGTAGCCTGCAGCGCACCACTTCCTGTTTACATAAGCAAACACGTCAATGTGTCTGATGCCACAGCCACCACCTCTCCCTGCCCATTGGTGCCCCTAACTTTTGCAAAAAAAAAGAAGAAAAAAACTGTACATTAGCTCAACAAGGATTTTGTTTTCAATACAAAAGCACAAGCTGCGCTTGTTCTAAATATATACATATATATACGTGTATGTTTGCATCAGTGGGCTCTAGGACTGGCGTGTGTGTGTGTGTGTGTGTGTGTGGACACTCTAGAGGAAGTTTAGTGCCCCGATAAGCATAGCACTGACAATGTTATACGAAAGCCATGATTTACAATTGAAAACTTAAGGTTTTTTTCATATACGAAACTTAGTGATATACTCGTAAACATATATTTAGGTTATGGCACTGGATCATCCACTGATGCACCATAGCCATATAGCTTAATGGGCTGCTATGGCACACTCCTGCCACTTGCAGGCCTCCTGGCTCTGGTGACGCATTAATTATCCTTTGAGACCACATCGATTTATCCGTGGCAACCGGCAAACGCGTGAATTAATGGCCAACGACTTTTGTATCGAGTGGTAAATGAATTATGGCCAGAAGACTGGCCACTGCCCCACTGCCCCACCACTGCTGTTGTCTCTCCATTCATCCCCGCGAAAGTTATGTAATAATACAATTAAGCATTTTCTCATGCTGAACGCTGCGTTTGATTAACAGAAATTCCGAGTCAGCCAAGTGTAAGTCTGGTCTGCCGTGGAGTGAGGCTGATGGGGCTGGGATTGCTGGTTTCCCTGGTAGTCATGGTAGAGGTGGAGGTTGGCTTAAAGTTTTTCCCTCCAGCAGCCAGATGAGAGTGCTACAGCAAGGAGAATGCAATTTAATTAAAACGAACGAAATTTCTTTTCATTTCCTTGGAGTGGAGGCAGATAGTAGTACAATATAGTGGGGGGTGGCTTGGGGCCAAATTTTGTAACTTTCTTCTCCAACGTCCAAGGCTCAATGAGCTCCGTAAGTTAATTGTCAGAATAGCTATATTCGAGCCAACAAATGGGAATTTTAGTCAAATAATTAACGAGCAAAATGCAGAGAATATTTGTTAAGTATTTGAACAAAGAAATCTCTTTCTAATAAGTCGCTTACTCGCCCAGAAGAGAGCATTCCTTGAGAGTGCTTTGGCAACATTAAAGAAAGTATCAGCCATACATGGAAGCGGAGGAGAAGCGGAAGAGCAGAGACAATGCCTGAGAGGCTGGCATAGACACGCTTTTGTAATTAAATTAGCATTAATGTTGTCGCTGGGGTTACGGCTCCAACATTCCGTCACACTCGTCCTTCAGCACAAGGGGGCTTCATCAAATATCGCTCATACGACGTGCTGGCCGTGCCCCGGCCACTTGAATGAATTTATGACGCATTTTATGCACACAATTGCTCGACTATTGAGCCATTCCCTTGCCATTCTCTGCCCAGGATTCAGCACAGCGCGATTTCTGCTCGGAGCCATTAAATTTCAATTTTCATTTCAATTGCAACGTTGTAGCGTACGTAATTCATTGCGGGTTTTATGACCTGCAACGGCGTGGCTACGTGCTCCTAATTGCCACTGCGAACAAACTATTGTCAAATTTTTCCAAGAGGGCTATAAATAAACACCCAGGGTTGCAGACTTTCACAGAATGTTGAACAAAACTTTTTACCCACTTTCAGTCTCCATCTCTCTTCCTCTCATGCTTTCGCTCTGTGTGTACATGCATATACATACATACATATATTTGCCGTCTCTTTCCCTGGCTGCCGTCAAACAGAAGAAAGTAAAAATGATTGAGGCAAAAAGTTTGCACACAAGTTAAACGAAGTTTTTAAACACAAAGTGAGTAGCAAAAAAAAAAAAAAAGCAAAGAAAAAGTTGAATCAAGTTGCTGGCAAAAAAGTGAGAAAACAATCACAGTGTGAATTAAACGAATCTTGAATGCTCTCAAATGGAAAATCTTTTACAATAATAAATACCAATACATATTTCCATTGTACGAGAACACCCTGAAAACTTGTCCAGCGCAATGGTATTGCAATCAGGGTCTTAGCAGGAAGATAAATTGCAAACAACTCTGGGGAATTTACATATTTAACAAACTAGTGCGAAATCGATACATTTCCACTGTCAGTGGAGTGGAGGCGGACGTGGACCCGGACCCAATGGAATCAAGTGTATTCACTACATCTACATGGTGGCAATGTCGGAAGTTCGGGTTAGGCCCAAGCACAGACTTGTGGCCGGAAGTGTGCACGTAAGCGTCAGTGTCTGTATGAGTGCTGGGTGTGCTCGTGTGTTTGTGTGAGTGTGTGTGTGTGCACCCACAAGGAGGCTGTTGGTGTAAGTGCTTTTTCAAGCAAATTGCCAATGTAAATGTTGCAACAACCAGTCGGTGCAACAACTAAATGCGACCCTCAGAGCAGCTGTGTAAACAACGGCAATAACAGCAGCAACAAGAGCAAATTATTTGCTGATGACGTCAAAAGGCACCCACACGCAGACACACACAGACACAGAAACCACCCAAATGCATTTAGCTGCCCCATTTACCCCGCCCAGCCGCACTCTCACTCCCACTCCCACATCGACCCTCGCCCTGCACTCTCATGCAGACAACTCAACTGGCGGCAACTCAATTCACAAACGAGGAAGCAACGCAACCAAAATGGCCGCAACGGGCCTTCCTGGCCGCCATTTTGCGTTTCGCTGAGGCACGCGCGATTTGATTTGATTTCATTGCTCTTCAGACTCTGGCAAAGGCTATTAGGCGCTGCTCACGAGCAACAGTTGCAATTTGGCCTAGACTGGGCCAAGGCATACATACGACTATTTTACATACAGCATTCTCGACTTCTCAACTTATCATGGCAATCCCCTAATCTATTTTTGATAAGCTACTCGATTATTAGTAGTTTATGTGTAGAACTTTCATTGATTTCTACTCGGCTTGGGCACTCTAACTAATTGTGTGCTTAAGTTTTGATAATTCTAAACAAACCATGGACACAACATCAACTCAACTCGTTAATGACTTGTATTAGAGACATTTAAGTAATTTGTAAGTTTTTATGAATTTGAATATTGAATATATCTGCTCTTCTGTGTGTTGCAAACGTGGATACTAAACTCAAATTATTATTCAAAGTGCACTTGCAGGAGGGCCAAAGCAATTTATGCAGATTTCAATAGTCAGCTAAAGAGATGTCAAGAGAGTTTTCTAGTTGGGCTGATTTTGGTTTTGCAATGACTAAACTACTTTCAGCTACTTTTTCCCTGGTTTCCAGCCGTCTATCTCGGCTCCTGTCTATTCTCTTTTAGAGCTGAGGGCGTCTTTGCCACTGCAAATTAGTGTCACTGAAAAGTGCTTTCCACGCCAAGCGACTTTTTCATTTCGCGCCATCTTGGGCCACATGGCGTATACGGATGCGTACGCTTGATACCTGCCTAATTAGTGTCTTATGAAGTCATATGTGAAAGGCAGTCAGTCTACTCAACTCAACCCAATGCTTATCATTATCCTTTGCTTGCCGTCTACTTGCAGTCACAGCCACAGCCACCGAGACCACTTGCAACGTGCAACAGCCACAGGAGCAGAAGCAGAAGCAGGAGCAACAAGCAGAGGAGAGTATTAACTGGAAAGTGTGAGTGTGAGTGCGGTGGACGTGCGGCGAAGTTGTAGAGGAACGCCTTCACATTGGATTACGCGCAGTTTTACCTTAGACCGGTGCCAATTAGTGGCCAACAGCAGCAACAAACGCAGCAGCAACACCAGCAGATAGTGCAGCAACAATTGTTAGCCCAACAGCAGCATCAACTGCAAATCCAGCAGCTGCAGCAACAACTGCTGCTGCAACAAATCGAACGGGAGTTGCAGCAGCACCAGCAGCTTCTATACAGCCAGCGACAGGCACAGAGTAACTACACTCCCGTGCGGCAGCGTTGGCTCACCGGCAGCCACTACGACTACGCCGCACCGCAGCAACTTCTGCCGCAACTGCAACAGACCCCTCCGCAGCAGCAACATCATCTGCTCCAGCATCACCAACAACAACAACAACAACAACAGCAGCAGCAACAACAGCAATACAGCTACTATTTCAGTCGGGGAAGCACCAGCTCCGGCCTGGGTCTGGGACTGGGCCTGGGCTTCGGTCTGGGCAGCGGCAACCTAGCCAGCTGGTATGTAACCACCATATACATATATTTCGGGACATGGTCGTTGTTGTCAAGCGCCATATCTCAGTGAAAATCCGCAGCACAGCAAGTCGCAAATGCTATCAGCGACATTGAGTCAATACCAAACGAGCCGAACAAGCTATTGTTTCAATTAACATTTATTGTTTATGAAATACAGTTTCTTATTTTCTTACCGACTATTACAGACTTGTTTCATCGAACCCTCTTGAATTCTCATTTCAGGTACCATCTGCCCTCCACGTCGGCACACATCTACATCGGGACAACCAGCAGCGGCGGCGCAGGTACAACCCCGTACCCATATCCGTATCGGGGACTGGGAGCCTATTCCGGCGGCGGCTATCCGGCAGCGGCTCTGATCAACTTTGATGCCTCGCCCACCCCACTGCTAGCATCAGCTGGGACTTCGCCGGGCTATCTGCCGCCACTCCCTGTGCCGGCAGCCCTACCCCCGCCGCCCCCGGCGCCGAGCGTAGCCACCGACTACTACTTCAGCAGTCGGAGCACGCGCACGCTTCCACCAAAACCCACAGCGGTAACGGCCACAGGAACAGCAGCAGGATCAGCAACAGCAGTCAGACTATCGCCGTTCCAGGAGTACACGGCTAGTGCGGCGGAGGAGCTGCAAGCTGGCTATCGCTACAAGGCCACGCCCCGAAGGCGCTACGACGCCTACGACAACTACGGCTATCTGCCGGGCTTTGCCAGCACAACCGAAGACGACGAGGACCTACTCGACGAGTGCCTGCCGGCGGCCCTACTCTCCACGGACTGCGACAGTCTCGAGGAAGTGCGCTTTCTACAGCACCAGGCGGAGGAGGACGACGACGAGGACGACGAGGAGGTTGCCACACAGTTGGCACATATTCTTGACCTGCCCGATTTTTTGCATCCTTACGGCGGCGGCGGCGCAAGCGGCAGCAGCAGGGCCAGCATACACAGCCACAAGACGCCGCCGCAACACGAATACCAGACGGAGCACGGCTCAGCCGCAGCCGGAGCAGGAGGAGGGGTTGCTACCACAGGCGGAGGAGGAGGCGCTGGCGGCACGGAAGGCGGAGGCAACATCAGCGGTGGTGGCGTCGGTCAGTCGCAACGCGAGACGGTTGAGCAACGCTATCACCAATACCAGTACCAGCAGCAGCAGCACCAGCACCAACACCAGCAGCAACATCAATTCCACCATCATCACCATCAGCAGCCGCAGCACAGCAACAGCAGCAGCAGTTCCAACAGACGCCGCAGCAATCGCAAGGTCACCAGCAGCAGGCGTACCACTCGTACCAGTATCCATCGCAGGACAGCTGCGAGGGCTTCAATCACTTCGCCAACGACGCCAATAGCTGCCTGGGCAACCAGAGAATGATGGTTAGCAAATTGTGGAACAGTTGCTTCCCGGAGTTCACGCCGGACCATGTCCATCGGCACAACTTCTATCTGTGCCAGGTAAGAGTCGCATCACATCGAAATCGTACCATTAAGACTAAAAGCATCATTCTCTCTCTCTCTCTCTCTCTCTGTGCCCATCTAGTGGCAGCGAAACACGCAGGTGCGCATTGTGTACCTGTTCTATCGCTGGATAACGGCCATCACCTGCTTGGCGGCGCTGGTCTGCTCTTTGCTGGACATCGGGCGCACCGATGAGCACTTTGAGCACCACTATGCCAAGTGGTGGATATATCTGACTCACTGGGGCCTGCTGTTTTGCACGGTGCAGGCCTGGCTGGCCGCCTGGATAGTCACCCAGGGCATGATGGTGGAGCGGGAGGACTTTGAGATTGTGCGCCAAGCCAAGAAGAGTCGTCTGCATCACCTCTACTGGGTGCTCTACACCTGTGCCACTGTTTATGCCTTCATTGTCACCATGTGCTATTGGCTGCTCGTTCACAATTCAGGTGAGTCGACTTGACCGAGTGGATCATACTTATCTTCACATGGTCTAACGCTTAAATATAATATCACTTGTTATTTATATCCACTATAATTTCTATCACAATCACAAAATATATCTGCGATTAAATGAGTTTTTGCTATTTAGTTTAATTTAATCTCCTCTCCGAATGTAATTGAACTAAGGACTCCACAAAATTTTAATTTTAAATTTTACAAAATTTTGATTTTGTGGAACTCCTTGCAAAAATATCGAGATAGGGATAAGCAGATTTCCATGACATGAATTTATTGTAGCAATTTTCTAAGCAATAGATGGACAGACGCAAAACCAAGTACAGATTAGTATATAAAATTTCCATTTAATGTCTTAGGGTAACATCGATCGTCTTTCACAGAACCATTTGTTTTGGCATTCGTCGGTTTCCAAATAGTAGAATGAGAACCGGCTCATGATGGCAATACATCCGACAGTCATGGCAAAGTTCATGTACACCTTGGCGGCAGCATCCAGGTACTGGTGTGTGGTGAAGGCGGATCGCTTTTTTACATGCACTTTTTGAGAGTTGTACATGGCCCAAGGTCCGAAGATGATCAAGCATAAGCTTAAGGGCACATAGTGGTGCATGGCAAGAGCCGAGGCGAGGGTAATAATGGCGGCTATCAGCACAGTGATGCTCACGAATATGAGAATCCAGAGGTCAGCGGTCAGCATTTTTGGCACCCAGAGACCTAGGAGGCTGTAGATAACAAGTACAGCAATGCCAACGACAACGAAGGGCCAGGTGAGTGACAGGTCGGATATGCTGAGGCACATGACCGCCAGAGTGAGGCTCTCGAAGATGCATATGAAGATGATCCAATTAAGGGGGAATGTGAACTGCAGCCGCCGAAAGCCGAAGAAGCCCAGGGTCAAGTTGAGCCACGCCAGGAACAGGAGCAGCAAATTCATATTCCGTTCGATGGGGTACAGCTTGGGCTTCCAGGCATACGTGGTGATCATCCATTGCGTCGAGGCCAGGCCCACTTGGGCCAAGATAAGGATGTACACGTAACAGCGAAAGGCCAGCCGGGAGGGTCCTCTGGCACCTGTTAGTATTGTTTTGGGTTCCGGACCCACGTCGACGTACACGGTCTCCGTTTGAATGTCATAATTAGTGTCCCTATAGGGATTAACACTTCGGGCCCTAACTTCTTCCTGATAGGGGGAAACCTCTTCATATGCTCTTTGTTCTTCCTGGACACGGTACGGCTCGTTGTTGTATGGATCGTCATCATACGGATTGTCCTCGTATGGGCTGGGACTGTTCACTTCATACAGAGACTCATCGTCGTACTCGTCCGGCCTCGTGGTTAAATCCGTTTGCTGCGCTGTGGACACCCGTTGGGGAGTCGTGCTAGATACGGATTTATTTTTGTTACTTGACATACTGCCTGTCAGTTTCAGCGCTCCCCAAGTGCCCCCAACCGACTGACAGATGACAGAGTCAAACTAAAGAACCAAAAAGTAAAAACACGAAAACGGCTCACATCGATGAGTGATCCACATCACGGCGTAAGGGGCGTCCATTCCAAGCTCCGGCTGTATCTGTGGATCTATGGAACGGCGCTGGTGTTTATATTCATCAGCATCCTGCTAATCATCTCCTTTGGCTTCATCAACAGTGAGCCCGGAGAGCGCTGCTGCCCTGCTGCCTACTCCTTCTTCAGCCTCGGCCTACTCTCGCTGTTTTTCTATGTGAATGTGATGTTTCTGCGGCGCAAGTTTCCGGTCAACTGGATACTGAGCTGCAGCATTGCTGTTGTTTTCGGCTTGGGCACTGCCTCAATGCTGCCCGAGCAGACAGCCGGCCATGTGATTCTTTTGGCCCTTGAAGTAATCGTGATGATGGGCCTACTGCTGCTGCTCGGCTACTGGCTGCCACCGAAGTGTCACCCACTGCTCTACATTGCCCTCACTTCGTTCTGCTTAGCGGTTGTAGTGTTTGTCCTGTGCAAGATTATCTCGGACCATACCCCAGACGACAGCGATAAAACGGCGCTGTTGATAGTTCACTGCATTCTCTGGACAGTGATCTGCCCGTTGCTCCTTTTCCAGTCGCAGGTGATCAACGGATACTGGGGCAACGAGCCCCCTTCTCTGGACATACCGCTCTGCGCAGTGCTTCTTCTCATCGACTTTCTGGCCTGTTATGCCTTCCTGGATGCTGTCGCGGATATCGATTTTGCCATCGAAAATTTGCTCAGCTCGAAGACCATGCAACTCATAGTCCGTGTCGGAAGGAGCGAGAACTCACCTTTCTAGCCGGAAAGTTCTTCTAAGACTAAATTAAGATCAACACCCGTAAACTCTTTGTTTGAACATACATCGATGCAGGATTATAAATGTATTTATACCAATGAGTAATCATTTCATTTAAGAGTATTGTGTATGTAGTATGTGTACTGTAAATTAAGAATCACCTAGGCCACGAATCAAGGTATAATTCCAAAGTATAACTCTAATATTTGCATTCCACTTTCAGAAATCCACAAAATTGATACTTTGAATATTATGGTTCATGTGCTAAACTCGATTATAATGCTCATCGATTTGGCCATTGTGGGGCATCCGATTAAAATGAGCCACGCCTACTTTACCACGGGCATTGGACTGGCATATGCCATATTCACTGGCATCTATTTCTTGGCCGGCGGCACAGACAGGTGAGTGGTCAGCACTTTGCTTGGCCTTCTCGGCATTTAATAACTTCTGTTGCATTCATACAGGAAAGATCAAACTGCCATCTATCCTATGATGGACTGGACCAAGCCGGGCAAGGCCATTATTGTTACGGCCTGTGCTATAATATTCACCTTCTTTGTCCACTTCTGCTGCTACCTACTGTACCGCGGCCGGGTCTGGCTGTTCACCAAGCTCTGCATTCGTGGCCGCCACAATCGGGACGGCGAGATGGGCGAGGGTCTCAACGATGACTCGGGCTCTCGCATGGGCGGAGGGGGCGTGGGTGGCACTATGGGCGGCGCTGGAGGCGGGGTCAGTGGTTCGGTGGCTGCCGCTACTTCTGTGTGTGTTGGCGCCGGTGGCAGCAGCCAGGATTATGCCCACCAGCAGCAATATCCCATTGCGCATACGGAGCAGCCGCGGGCCGGCAATCAACAGCAGCATCAGCAGCAGCAGCCGCCTGCCAACTACCAGGCTCCGCCTCAGTATTCTGGCTACCTGCAGCAGCCCGTGGTGGCTGGCGTCAATGTGGGGGTGATCAGTGCGGAGGGAGTGTACCAACCGATTGGCACAGATGCCGGACGCACCAGTGGTGGTGGTGGTGGTGGTGGTGGAGTTGGTGCCGTGGGCGATGTCTCCGGGAAACACAAGTCTGCCTCTGGCTCGGGGTCATTGACGCGCACAGTAGCCCACCTGGATGCGTCGCAGCGGGAGCAGTTCCTCAACCCCAACAAGATCGTCGAGTATAAGATGTAAAGGCGATGCACCCGGCACCGGTATACGTTCCACTTGTCCATGAAGTTTTTGGAGAAGCACTGTGCCCAGTGCGAGGCGACGCGCAACGCCATCAGCGAGGAGCAGCGCCACCTCGCCGATGGCGGGCACAGTGGTTAGCTAGAGTTGCTTTGAATTATCAATTCCCAACTATGTATCTGCCAGATCAGATCGGATCGAATCAGTATTGCACTTGGTATTGTACGGCATTGTAGTTTGTAAAAGTAGTTTCGTAATTTTGTAAAAGCTTTGCCAGTTTTTTAAATGTGTAGCCTCGTTCTGTCTGCTAGCGACTTGGAGTAGGAGTGGTAGTGGATGTACTTGTCGACCATAATATTGAATAAATTTAGAATATTAGGGATATTCCTTTAGTGTTGCAAACACATCTTTGGCAACGATATCCCCTCGAGCAGAGGGGATATCAGTATTGTAGTTGCTCCTTGATGCTGGATGTAATTTCCAACAATTTTAAACACTTTTAATGGACTAAGTTGAACATGGATATGTTACAACTCATACTAGCACCTTAAGTTAAAGCTCAGTTATATTTATACCTTAAATTGCATCAATTGTGTTCAAGATTGTCGTTCCACAAATAGTTACAATACGTTTGGCCCATACTCCTTATGAAGAACAGCAAACCAAACAACAAAAATGTCAAACACATACTGCCTATAATTATGTTGCTTAAGTATTTTTTACATAGTTAATTTCCCATTAATCCGCCTAAATTTTATATATCGGTGCAGGTGTAAAGCAAGCTCATGCACATGCACACAGCCCCAAAACCCCAAGACCAGCCAGAGTCGGACAACCAAAAATAAAGCTTACTAAAATTAAAATCGTTTTTGTCTGCTCTTGGGGAGCAGTGTGCACTGTGCATGGACTTGGCAAATTTAATTGGCAGTTTTAGTGGCGCAAATTGCACTAGGAGATATAGAGGAAGAGTAAAGTTTAACTTTAAGATATGTATGCTTGGCATTGATTTGCTTAGTATTTAGTAAATTGATTAAATAAAATACATTATTTGAATGGATATTTTCGAAGCCAGCACTACGCTGCAAAAATAACTCTACAATATAAAGCACGACAGATAAATATTAAAAAAAAAAATACATACATACATATATCTAAATGAAGTATTTTAGCATATAATGTTGAAAGTAAATAACTAAGACTATAACTATACTTTTTGCTCAGAACAAACAAACAAACAAATTAACGATATTCCTGTACCTAACGAGGGGCTCAAAAAGTTTTCCGTTTTGTTGGTTTTTGTTTCTGTGACTCACCATACGGACAGCACCGTTACAGAATTATCCTAATTATCCTAAGACCCAAATTACAAACACTTAGCACGTGATTAGAGTTACAACCAAATGGTAATAGAAATGGAAATGGTAGTACCCATACTCGTATGTACATATATGTATGTATATTTATGTGTATGTAAATCTATTGCGCTTAGGAAAAGGCGCTGCTGCTGCGCTGCCGCTCACGTACACGTGTATTACGGTGGTTGGCACCAATACAATGATCCGTTTTTCCTGCTGTATGCGCACACAAGCGCATTGCAAAACATTTGATTGTGTGCGTGCCGACCACTGATGTAAATAGTTGTTTTCATATATGTTGAGCGAATTCTATCTATATTCAAATGCATAGGCAACCCCCAATGACGGGGGGGAAGCTGTTGAACAATGAAATCAAATCTCGTATAAAAGTTTAGTAAACTTGAACCGAAATGCAACAATGAAGCGAAAACCAAAACCAAAATCAAATGCAATGAATAAAACTCGTCAAGAGGAATGTGTTAACAAGCAAAAGCAAAACCAAATACAAATGCAAATACAAAGCATATTTAATTAATATACAGAATTCGAAGTGCAACCAAATAGCATCCCCTAGGTATTCATACTCATACATACTTGAAATTATAAATAAACGAGAAGGAACGTTGTGAGTCGCTTTTGTGGCCGCGACTCTATTTTTATACCCGTACTCAGTCATTATATGTATGTGAGGTTATGATTATGTTGATTTTTTAAGTATTTTATCAGTTTACATTTTTTTGCTACATCTGTCTTCTACATCTAAATCTTCTTCCGCCAGAGGTCGCTATTCGGCTAATGTTTCTGTTCAAGAATATATACACTTTATTTGGTGGGAAACGTTTAATTCTTTGCGTTGCACACATCCACCTTTACCACAAATTTAATATAATCTTTAACTCTTCGAGTACGGGTATAAAAAACACCCACACAAATATAAAAATGTAAAGCCTAGTAATGTAATACAATTAATTTTTGATAGATTTACATAAACAGAACGCTCATATTCTAGGGACATTACACAGAAAACACACAGATCAGATCCCCAGCAGATCTCCAGGATTTTTTTCTGTTTGATGTTTATTAATATTTTGATGCTATTTTTTTCCCAGTTTCTTTTTAGAGAAATTTAACCAGTTTTGGTTGAGGTTTTTAGCCGAACTGAAAATGTGCTTCGTATTTGTGTCAGTTTCCTCGTTTCTCCTAATTTGTTTTCCAACATTTAGCATAAATGTATAAATGTATGTTTATATAGACTGAATATTATTAAAAAAAAAAAGATGAAAATCTAACAAAAAAAACTTAATAATATATATAAAACAAGCGAATAAACCATTTTGGAATGTGTAAAAATATAAACAAAAACTTAAGCCAGTTCATATTAACCGCAACGTAAAATAGTAAGGCACATATCAATAATTAAACAAAATCATTCTTAAATGAAAATGAGAGCAAAAAGCAAAAAACAACAACAAATAAATTAAATTATATGCAGAATATATTTAGCAAAGAGAGACAAATTCAAATATTATATTTTGTAGATTTTTAGTAAACTAGAAGTGAGTGAACATGGACAGCATATATCTACAATATATACCAACTATATACAAACATACATACATACAGTACATACATCCCTGCATACTACGTAGAGTACTTACAGTACTACATAGTATAGCCATGTAGCTCTCTGTACCCGAGGCGAGAGTTTGTTTTGAAGTTGTTGAGGAAACAAACGAGAAAATGGAAAAGCTTTAAGAAACCCAAATGGTTGGACGAAACTTTTATATCTACACTCAAATAAAAGTTGAAATAATTGCTCAATTGGAGTCATCCATTGGCTTAACCAAGGTCGTACCTCCCATGGAAGAATGCTGAACAGGGGGCGAGCATTAGTAGTAGTAGATGTGAGGAGATGTCAGGCATTGATGCGAGTATACAAACAAATCATTAATTCAAAATGTTATTAACAAGAGCACACCAAAATGAAAATTTTTAAAAAGCTGCATGTGTTGATTGCGAGAGAGTATAAATTAAATTTCAGTATAATAGTGAAATTTACGAATAAGTAACTAAAACTAAAATAAAAACCAAATTAAAAAAAAAAAAACTACAACAAGCAAGCAAATTGTTTACTTCAAAAGTACGAGTATTTCTGCGCATTTAAGCAAAATCGTAAAAACAAATGGTTCAACATTCCCAATTAAATGAGTCGAAATTTTGTTAACCAATTAAATATGAAAACATTCAAATTATAAACGAAACAAGATTTCAATAAACAACAAACAAAAACTAACAAAAACAAAAAAAAAACAAAAATTTGAAAGGAAAACCAAATAAATTATTGGAAAACGCATGAAAATGTTAATGAAGCGAGTGGAAGGCATTTTAAGGTACAGGCATCATATATAATATTATTAACTATTATTATGTATTTGAAACAAAGAATTGTGAATTAGTATTAAACCAACAAAAATGGCAAACAAATGGTGGTAAATAAAGAATGTAAAAGATAAAATAAACGAGAAGGAACGTGCGAGTCGCTTCTGGGGACGCGACTCTACTTATACCCGTACTCAGTCAGTATATACATTTTTGATCTTATGATTTTTAAGAATTTAAAAAAAAAAAAAATTTACATTTTACATTTTTTTGCTACATCTGATATCTACATCTACATCTACAATGTATATTCTACATCTAACATGTAGATTGTACAATGTACATGCTCCATTTAGATTCTACATCTCCTCCCTAGGGGGTGCTCGCGCACTGAACGCGGCAGAGGGTGCGAGCGAGAAGGAAAATGAGTTTCGTTGTCGCGTCGGGGAGGGGGGACAGGGGAAGCAACTGAAAATTAATTTCTTCATTCTGGCTATAATTATGATCCGATCTGATTCAGATTCGGCAGTCTGGTAGATATGGTCATTCTCTACGATACTGCGTTTTTAGTTTTATCGTATCTTTAAAAATGTGCCTGCCACAGATTTTCGTCCTTTGTGGGGGCGGAAGGGGGCGGGGCGAAATTTTGAAATACACTTGTAGCAGTGTGATATCACATGAGTGTGGAAACCAAATTTGGTTGCCCTAGCTCTTATAGTCTCTGAGATCTAGGCGCTCAACAAGACGGACAGACAGACAGACGGACAGACGGACAGACGGACAGACGGACAGACAGACATGGCTCTATCGACTCGGCTATTGATGCTGATCTAGAATATATATACTTTATGGGGTCGGAAACGTTTCCTTCTCTGCGTTACACACATCCACTTTTACCACAAATCTAATATACCCCTTAACTCTTTTTTGAGTACGGGTATAAAAATGGAGTTGATAATACAAAATATATATCTCTATATCGGGGAAATCCTTCCCGGACGCCATTGTTTATAATTTTTTGTTGGTTCCTCATTGATAGAACTAACCTTGGAAATCGTTCAAATTCAAATCTGAGATACCAGGCAAACAGAAATCAGCAGAAAGCCGCTGCTTTTTTAAATTCTCTTTTTTTCTTGTTTCTCTTTGTATTTCGTTGCTCTCTTTTTTCTCTCTAATTTCTCTCATTTTATGCCTCCACTTTCCAGCGCTCAAATGGAAGAAACCGTTAAGTTCAAATCTGAGATACCAGGCGCACCGAAATCAGCAGAAGATCGTTGCTTTTTTTAAATTCTCTTTTTTTCTTGTTTCTCTTAGTATTTCGTTGCTCTCTTTTTTCTCTCTAATTTTTCTCATTTCTCATTTTTCTCATTTCCTCCACTTTCCACCGCTCAACTGGCAGAAAACCGTTAAATTCAAATCTGAGATACCAGGCGCACAGAAATCAGCAGAAGGTCGCTGCTTTTTTTAAATTCTCTTTTTTCTTGTTTCTCTTTGTATTTCGTTGCTCTCTTTTTCGCTTTCATTTTTTCCCATTTTCTGCCTCCACTTTCCACCGCTCAAATGGCAGAAAACCGTTAAATTCAAATCTGAGATACCAGGCGCACAGAAATCAGCAGAAGGTCGTTGCTTTTTTTAAATTCTCTTTTTTTCTTGTTTCTCTTTGTATTTCGTTGCTCTCTTTTTTCTCTCTAATTTTTCTCATTTTCTGCCTCCACTTTCCACCGCTGAAATGGCAGAAAACCGTTAAATTCAAATCTGAGATACCAGGCGCACAGAAATCAGCAGAAGGTCGTTGCTTTTTTTTAATTCTCTTTTTTTCTTGTTTCTTGTTGTATTTCGTTGCTCTCTTTTTTCTCTCTAATTTTTCTCATTTTCTGCCTCCACTTTCCACCGCTCAAATGGCAGAAAACCGTTAAATTCAAATCTGAGATACCAGGCGGACAGAAATCAGCAGAAGGTCGCTGCTTTTTTTAAATTCTCTTTTTTTCTTGTTTCTCTTTGTATTTCGTTGCTCTCTTTTTTCGCTCTCATTTTTCCCATTTTATGCCTCCACTTTCCACCGCTCAAATGGCAGAAAACCGTTAAATTCAAATCTGAGATACCAGGCGCACAGAAATCAGCAGAAGGTCGCTGCTTTTTTTAAATTCTCTTTTTTTCTTGTTCCTCTTTGTATTTCGTTGCTCTCTATTTTCGCTCTCATTTTTCCCATTTTCTGCCTCCACTTTCCACCGCTCAAATGGCAGAAAACCGTTAAATTCAAATCTGAGATACCAGGCGCACAGAAAACAGCAGAAGGTCGCTGCTTTTTTTAATTCTCTTTTTCTCTTGTTTCTCTTTGTATTTCGTTGATCTCTTTTTTCGCTCTTATTTTTCCCATTTTCTGCCTCCACTTTCCACCGCTCAAATGGCAGAAAACCGTTAAATTCAAATCTGAGATACCAGGCGCACAGA